TACATACATACATACATACATACATATATACATAGTTACATACATACATACATACATACATAGTTACATACATACATGCATACATACATACATACATACATACATACATACATACAGGCATACATAGGTTAATTGACCACTCCTCACAGGGGCTTTTCAGGGCCAACACCCGCCCATTCCACCCAGAGAAGGACATCCACCACACAGTAATCTCGTGTGTGGGAAATTAACATCTCCTACCCCTAACCCTGCAGAAGATGGGGCCTATGGTTTATTCGTCTTTATCCGAAAAGACTAGACTATCAATTCATTTCTTGATTATAGAAAGGTAGCAAATTCTCCTCGCTTAGTTTAAGACCATGAGTATTGGTCCGAAATATCCCTTGATCAACATAATTATATGACATGACAGGTTGTACTACCAACGACACTACCTTTCTCAAAACTTGGACAGCTTAGAAAGAGGCAAATAATGTTTTGGAAGAAAACAGAGAAAAAAATTTTTATTTTGTTTTTGCTATCATTATGATATTCCAATCAAAGGTAGCAGTGTACACCGCTGCATTTTCATCATGTTCTGATTTGTCTAATGAATTTACTCTGTTCAATATCTTTTTTTAGGTTTCTGTTTTGTTTCCTTCGATTCAGAAGACACAGTAGACAAGATTTGTGAATTACAGTTCCATCATATTGATGGTAATAAGGTGAGCTTACATGAGGGCAATAGGCATTTAATTTAATAACTTATATTTTCCACTGTAAAGAACTAATGTCTGCAGCTGATGTTTCAAGCATTAGCCCTTTGTTAGAGTGAAGAGTGAATTGATCCATTTGTTTTTATGGTTAAGGTTGAAGTAAAAAGAGCTCTTCCAAAAGAAGTTCAACAGCAGCAAGCTGCCCTTCGTGCTGCAGTAGCAGGAAGAGGAATGATCCCAGCAATTGGTGAGCCTCTATTATTTTCACCTTGAATTATTTTTTCTTGAATTCGGCTGTCAAAATTTTGGCCTAGTTCTTTCTTAACTTTATTTTAGTGGACAGGACTGAGCTTTGGACAAAGTGTTGTTTTGAAGATGTGCCCAATCTGCATTTAGATTCCATCCAGTTCCTTGCAGAAATTTTAAAATTTTTTGTTTTTAATATGTAAATTTTACTGTTCAATTGCAGCCACAGCTTTTGGAGTTGTGCCTGGAAGAGGTAGACCAGCTGCAGGTATAAGCAGAGGTAAGCCTTTTATATTGAAAAGTACATGCAGCTTTAAGGGCACCATAAGAAATTTAATATTATGAAGGAATCATTTTCTTTTCATGACCATGTAACATCCTTTGGACCATAGAAACAACAGGGTATAGCGTCCCCAACTAGCTGACTTTTGTCTTCCTTAACTCCTTACAACCTAATATCACCTTTTATTATCCAACCACACTATGTAGAGTACTAGGAACCCCTGAGACAAGTACAATTTAATATTACGTGGTGTTTATACTCCAGAGAACTGGTTAGACTGGTTTTCTCGCGTTGTGCAAGTGACGAATTGGACTGGTTACTGAAAAAAATGGTGGACAGTTTAGATTATTTCTCTGACAGTGCAGAGTCAGAATGGCCGGTGAATATTGATCCAAGTTTATTAGATAAATCAAACAAAGAAAAATAGTTAGATGACAGGGAAATTTCATCATTTATTGAGGAAAATAGAAACAGCAATATGACAATGTGCCAATTCTGTTCTGCCTCGTATACTTCTGTCATGCACTCTCCATAAATAAATATCTGTGAAATTTGCCCACACTGAAATAACAAAATTAATTGGTGTGTTGGAGGGCTTGTCAAAATATGGCACAACTTGTAAAAATACCCAGCGATATTATACAACAAAACGTCTTATAAGATATATTTACGTGTACACTCTTTACTTTTCTTTATACATTTGTTATGGAATTGAGGGAGAGAATTAAGTTAAAAGTTGAGAGCTCTCCAAGTTTGCGAACATTTTCGTTATTCTCGCAAGCCTAATGTTTGATTCACCAGTGATACTTTGGTGAAAAATTAGATGCCAGTCGCCCTAAGGGAATGAAGGTTTTAGCCATTTAAGTCTTACATTTAAAAGGTTATTCCATAATATCTTTGGCAATATGTGTTGTCTCACATTGTGGTTGTAAATTCTGGTTTTAAAGGTCCATTCCGTGCTGGTGCAGCAGCCGGAACTGCTGGGCTTAGTCTCACAGCTGCTGCTGCTGCTGCTTATAACCCGACGTATGCTGCAGCTGCCCTTTATGGAGCACTTGGCACAGGTGCAGCCTATGACACTGTCTACCCCACTTCTTATGGAGGTATACCAGGCTATCCAGGGTACTCCCCTGCAACGTTTCCCACCCCAGCCACGGGGTACCCTACTAGTGGGTATGAATTACATCTCGCAGCCAGCAGAGATGCACGATATCCAGGTATGCAGGGAGTTCAGAGTAAAGAAGTTTTGAATGCACAATGAAGGCATACGAATGTGTACGTATTTGAATTTAACTATTTTCACCGAAGATTTTAGAACAAGTGTACAAGAAAGAAGCCCCTGATTCGACTGTTTGTCACCTTGTCTCCAGCATTGGATTTGGAAGTTATCATTTTTACTTATTTTTATTAAGCCATCAATTCGCTGTTGTGAAATCTGTCTTGTATTTACCTGGAAAGAAAATTAGATAAGAAGTTATATTTTTGAGGCTTATTGTACATCTCTGGGATATGTCAAGTTGGAAGAACTCTACTTGGACACCCAGTTAGGAAGATTAAATGATGTTAAGGAGTAACTTGGCTTTGAAAGTTGATGTTGTCTAAGGTTCCTTTCCTATGCTGTGACCAACTCAAATTTTTTCTGTTGATCATTTTAGGCATGCGTATGCCAGATAGGGATCACAGAGGTGCAATTAGAAAAGATTTATTTATCGGGTCATCATCCAACCTTTAAGTTTCCCAGAGAAGTACAGCTGTATGTATACTCCAACCAACAGCAGTCTGTATGAATGCTGTATTTATTCATGAATTTTATTGAGAGCCAGGAGGTCGACATTTTCATACAGAGTCTTATATTTTCTACAGAGTGAAATGAATTTGTCAAGGTCATTATTTATTGTACATTTGTCAGTATTTGTTGGTTAGCATGCTCAATTTCAGAGCACACCAGAGACCACATGGGCATGTACAAAGGCCTTCCCTGTTGATACATGATTTACCTTTGCCACATGCTGTTGGTTTATATTTTTTTCTTTGATCATATATTTTTTTGTTTTTTAGTTTCACTTTACTTGCCTGAAGGTTTCTTAATTTCTGCTGAGCTATAAGGATAATCAGGTTTTTTTCCACAGAGGAAAGTACATACTGTATTGAGATCAGGTTTAATTATTTTGATCTGATATTGAAGAGTGACGGAAACTTAAACATCAATCCAACATCTGAGTCATGAAAACTTCTAACATCTCAAATCTGAAGTGATGACATTGTCTTGGAAAATGTAGCTTGGAATTTTACCAATGTTTCCTTTTTGTATTACAATTATGGCAATGGAAAATGAATGTGTAATATAGGGAGGGCCTACATGGTACAAATTAAAAGAAAGAACAAATAACTGCAATGAGGAATGCATCCAGTAGGGCCACTTCATACCAGCCTGGAAACTAGCCTGGCCTGGCATGTAAGACAAAGTTCTGCAATTTATTTAAATGGGAAAGCTCCATCTGTGTACTGAGCTTAGCTTCTAGCCTGATAGGAAATTTCGGTTTGATTTCCAATGTCAACAAGTGGCGACCTTGCAAGTTTCATCCCAGCAACCAGGCTAGAATGTTTATAATAGAAATTATCAGACCAGATACTGAGATCATGGCACCAAAACTTCTCAAACAAACACCTGAAAATTTGTTGAGCAATATACCTATATTTTTACACAAGCCCCATCTGTTTTGCTCATATGAAGAGGCCCTCAGAGCTGGAAGGTTAATACACTGTAGGTTGGGTAAACTTAGTTCCTGTAACTAGAGAACTGTGCTATACATGTTTTGGTGTTGAAAGTAGTAAATCAGTGGTCATTGCAGCATTTGCTCAAGAATGAGAAGTTGCAAGATTTCTAGCTATTTTTCTTTTTATGTGAAATTAGATTCCTTTTTTTTTCCTTATTTCTTCTATTTTTTGACTCCTACCTTTTATACCAGACCTATTTTGAGTATGAAACTCAGAGAATGAGTCTGTAAATGTTTGTGGATGTTTGGAGTTTTTTTGGCTATTACAATTTTCTTTGTTAAAACTACCTTAAAAACCAAAGTTTTTCATGAATTGCTTGAAAATGGCATGTTAAGGTGGGGTACAGGAGGGAATACCTTTCATGAAAAGTTGCAATTGGGGTAAGTCACATGAGGAGAAAACCACCATCAGAAGAAGTTTGCTAGACTTTACTTTCCTAAAGTAATAGGTATAGATGGCTCACAATCATTATGTTTAGAATCAAGCTGTGTCAAACTGTGTCAAGTATATCAAATTGAGTCTTTCCTCATGAAATAAATTGGAAAAACAAACAATTTAAGTTTGTGTTTGCAGGTTACCATGTAATGTTTGGTTCTTGCATGAAATAAGTACCTAACAGAGAGGGTTTTAGTTGTGTACCATGGCTTTGCTAAAACAGCAGTTGACAAATGACAAGTTCATTGTTTCATGATATTTCTTCAGAAAAGGTAACTTTTAAACCTTTACTTTCATCATTCATCCGCACCAGTTTTCCTGGCATGGGTTTAAACATATGAATTTGAGGGCCATCAGTAGCACTATTTTCAGGGACTATAGTTTCTTGCTGTGATTGGAGGTTTTTTCCCCTTGAACCAAAATACTCAAGGGAAAAATTGTAAGCTGTGAACTTTTAAGGACCATTTAAGGTATGGCAGGCCACAATGTTGATAAAATTCAAATTTACAACAATGTACAAATCCCATTAATTTTTTCAACCCAAGAAAGGTTTGTACAGTCATTGGCTGAAGACCAAATGCTATCCATTCATTGTTCATATAATATTATTGTTTGAAGCTTAGCAGTCATTGGTCAACAAATTAGCTCTCATTTTACCCTTGCAGTGCTGGCCTCAATTTATCATACAATGTAACTGGTCTCTCCACAGTTCGCTTTATTTTTTATAGGTAGAGTTAAGGTGTTTTCTTTAAAAAAGGACTGTTCAACCAAGAGAATTAGTTATTGTTGGTGTAGATGAAAAGAAATAGTCCCCGTCTCAGTTGTCAGATTTGTGCAATATCCCATGTTTTAATAATTATCTAGCCTAAAGAAGTGCACTGCATTGCACCATGATAGGTGATATTCTGTAGACTCTTGCTCATCATGTTGCAGACATTTAGCAAAGGAGAAAATGAAACTGATTTGTTTTAATCAAAGGGTACATGTAGGTTCAGTTCCTCCATCACCTGTCAATCAGTTCTTAGAACTGACAGGTTCCTTTAACAGATAGGACGATCCAACAAACCTGTTCTGATGAGTGGAAGCAGCCTCTCATTTTAGTCGTGATGGAAGGGAAACCTTTTCATTAGTGTTAGGAATTGAAGGGTATAGTTGAGATGGAAGGATAATGTACATATACACAAGTCTTGCAAAGCAAGAGTGCGTTCTGTGTTGAATCATGCACAGTTTTTGTAATATTTTTTCGAAGACATATAGTTTAGCCTTGCATGTATATTTTCTTAGTATTGTGTTGTGTTCATGAAGTAAATTGTGGCTGTTTACCAAAACAATTATACCTATATTTTTCTCGGACAAGTGACTAAAACAATTACCTTGCACAGATGATAAGTGTTTTGATTACAAACTGAAAGAAAAGTTGTTAGGAAGTTTTTGACTCTGTAAGAACCATTAATTCATCTGATATTTTTGTGAACTTCACTCATAGCAATCAAGTGGAAACAGCATGGAACACTCATAATGCATCAATCATTAAGTTTGACTCCTTATAATGGAGTGGAATGGATATTCTGATGATACACTCTGAGTGGTTGATGCTGCTGTTTATTTTGCTCATGCTTATCCATCAACTACGAAAAACACTAAACCTTATATTTTTTATTTATTTATTTTTTTTTTGGTACATCTTTGACATGTTTTTTTCTGGGTCTTAGTTGTTTCTTTAAAAAAAACCCTGACATCCATCATACTCTCAGAGGACCCAAGTATTATGAGAACATTTTTTTAGACCATTCACTATAAAGGACAAGCTGAAAACCCTTTGAATTCCAAGATCTCACTACAAATTCTCCTTACAGTCTTCCCTGGTTTTTTTTTTTTTAGTTTATTTCTGAGAATAGTGTTTTACACATAGAGACAAATTTATTCCCCGGGTGATATTTTTAGTTCTTCTTATGGTCTCTATCCTTGTTAAAGTATTGTTTTGTTAGGAGAATTTACACATGGGTCACTCCTCTGATTAACAGGGTTAATCCTTAAATTTTCAAGTGCAATCAGTTACTATATTCTCCTAAAACCAGGAAACCGAGGTTAACCAGTTGTATATACATTGGGGAATAGTACTTAGACTAGCTAACAAAGAAACATTGGTCATCTGCAAGAAGATGTAGTTCCTGGGTCTTGGGAATTGAAGGGTTTTTTTAAGGGTTATCACTTCAAACCACTGACCAAACAGTGTTAAGGTTGTTAAAGTCATTGCTAGTTAAGGAGAGTGGGAGAGGTGTCACTGGTTGTCAGAAACTCACAAGCTGAAGAATATGATGCAATTGTTACTGTTGTGATTGGTAATTGTCTGAACATGACTTTCCTGCTTAAGAATGAGAATTTAGTGCATGTAATAGTGATAATTCATTGTAGCTTGTAGTTGTAATTATAAAGAGAACAGATGGAACTGCTTGATCAGAAGCCTCTTTTTAAGTTTGTAACAGTCATAGTCAACATAAGAGTCACTATGATTGCTCCTGTAGGTGCTGGTAATGTCTTTTTTCTGCAAGTTATTGATCTTAAAATGTTAACTAGCTTTCATGATAGTTATGTTTTCTTATATATATTAGAGTAGTGAACTGTGCATGCTTTACTGTTTAGAGTTTAGTCACTATGCTAGTTGCACTGTTAGATGTAAAATGAATAGCTGGAAAGAACTTTTTGGAACTCAGGTCTTCACTGGTTTGCAAAGAAAAGGAAAGAAGGAAACATCTTTTAGCTTGGTTGAACTTTTAGGTAACATTGTAAGGAAGTTCTTGGATACTGAACCTTCATTTGTTAGGTGATTAATTTGTGACTAACTGGTCATTAATAACCTTTTTAATCTGTAGTATTTTCAACAAATAAACAAGCTGCAGCCAGTGAACTTTTTTCAATTGTTGGTAGTGTATTAAAAGTCTTTAAGTGTAATATTTTATGAAAGTAACTGTTTCCTCTGCATTTTCATGTGACTTGTTAATGTAAGTAGACGTTTCTAAATAATGCTATAGAAGAAACTTCTTTGTAGTAATATAATTGTTGTTTAGCAATGTTGATACTACTTGTACTACATTTTAATCTGAGGAGTACCAATTGAAGAGCTAATGTTTCCAGCACGTTTTAAAAGTATTGATAAAATTCCAAGGGCGCTGTCTTAGAACCCGTTACAATATCCAACATGCTTTGTTAAAATCAATTTCATGGTACCATTTTGTTGAACTAGTTGATTTTAAGGGAATTGTGTTAGTGTTGCCAAATAATGCTGGGGCAGCGTTTTCTTCTAAGTCGCTGACCCTTCATCACGTGACAGATGCGAGTGATATGATTGGCTCCTTCCCGCAGCAGGGAAGTGGTGTCGTGGACACAGATGACAGTGGTGGCACTTCCTTGAACACTTTTCGATGATATTAAAGAAGGGTGCCAGGTAAGGCGTGGCCCAGTGCCACAGCCCGAAATTTATGTAAGCACCCTTTACAATATTGTGCACCATGTGCAAAAAACACGTGATTGGAAAAGCAATGTAAGGATGTCTGAAACTTATTATAAAGGAAGCTCTCTCGAGTCATGCTGGTAATTAAAATTCATCTGCACCTAACCTGGACTATGGCCAGCCTAATGTGCTGTGTCTCGCATTAAGTAGTTAATGCTGCCAAGTAGATGGCTGAAAAGTAAAATTAAACTCTGAGTGGGCAAGAAATGCAAAAGGAACTTTTGATGGTTGTGTTTATTTCCACAACTGCCAAGTATAGACACCCACATGCTATCTGTATCATTGTAAGCTTAAAGCGCCCGTTAAAATCATGAGGTTGGCTGTAGTTGTCGTGCAAGTTAAAGGGATTTTAATTTCCACATGGCAAAGGTACAATTGTGAGGCTAGCCACAATTTAAAGTAATGAGCACTGTAAAAGTTAAAGGGAAGTAAATATGTACATATTTGTAAAGGTGTTTCGGCTTAAGCTATCACTTGTAAGTAAATTAACACTGACATTAGCATGAAGCACTAACAAGTTAAAGTAAACATTAATCTTTTTTTTCAAAACATCTAAGTAATGTAATGTAACTGAATTTTCTGAATTGTCAATTGCAAATAATGCCACCAGTTATGAATATCATAAACAGGAGAGAGTGCAATATTCAAACTGAAGTGAACTCTATTGCTGCAAATAATGTTGTTTGCAGCAATTCTTATTTCAGAAGCAAGCTTTCCATTGCCGTCGTCTTTTTTTCTGTTCTACTTTCTTTTGTTTTACTTTTTGTCGTTAATAAATAAGCATTGTTCAGAAGAGGTGACCCGTTGATTACTAGTTTCTTTGGCATGGGTTTTTTTTTTGTTCTTGTGAAATATTGAAATTTGACCCACTGTGCTCTAGTAGTCTTGAATGTTGGTTGTCTGTTTATGATCACATCTGTTCTCGCATGTGTTTGTTGCAGTGGTTTAAGCTGTTCCTTTCAGTTTGGATGCTCTGTATATGCGTTTTTTTTTAGCATTAAATTGTGTTGTTTTGCATGAAAAACCACGGTTTTCATTGTTATCAGCCAGTTTGTTGCCGAGGGTTACTAAGGTGAAGGACACTTTCCAGGGATGCGGAATCTTTTCGACTGAACATGTTAAGGAAAATAAACAAGTGATTTCCCTTTTTTCCAAATTGTTTTGTTGGAAGTCTTTTGACAAACACAAAAGGTAATTGCTTCTTTGTCACGCAATATGAGTATTGTGTGACACTTTCGAATGGAAGGCTTCATTGTATGTTCATATTGTTGCTTTTTCTTGTGCTGCAGATGGGCGCCCCAGTGGCTTTGGACCAATGATGTCATACACGAGAACAACCTTCCATCCATATGCTCGTTAGCTAAATTATGTGACTCGGACGTGACAAGTTCTCGTCACGCAACTCATTTAATGGGTTGCTGAATGTAACGCATAAGAATTACAACACAAGAAATGGAGACGGTAATTTCTACTTTCTTCACACAATGTCAGAAAGCACGTCTACAGCAACACCTTCAGATGAGAAGCTCACGTTTACCATTTAGTGTTAATATTGGAAATATTTTAGTCACGTAAGGAAAGTTGCACAAATACTCATCACTGAGGTTTAATATTAATAACCGTATATTATGGGCCCAAAGAAAAGCTCTGATGTATGGACATTTTTGCGGTAACTTCAACCCCAGGTTAAAATATGTAAACAGTAGGTCTAGTTTTTTTTTTGCCCTCAAAGGGCCCCAGAATTGTATTTGGTGAATATTGTCTATATCTTGTTTGTAACTTGTATAGTATTTATATCCATGTACATTGTTTGAGTTCTTCCCCGTCAACACGAGCCCAAATGGCCTTGTTGACCCGCTGTTTTGATCTGTAGTGTCACAAAGTGACACTAAGGTTACTTCTTTGTTATGAAACATTGATACATTTGAATCGCCCGAAAGAACACGTCCTTTTGTGTTTTAAACAGTGATAGTACACACACTGTGAAAGTACCGTAGCTTACATGGGAATTTAGTCAAACTGGACACCGCTAAGTAATCTACTACTATAACTAGGAAGAACTCTTTTGTCATATTGCAGAATAACGTTTCTTTGTTAGGTTGTTGTTTGTAACACGTTTTTTCACATGCTGTTCTTCAAGAACATTAAACTTGTCGACTTGCTTTATGTTTCTTTCCACTGTTTGTATATTGCATATCAAAGCTGTGATGCGTAGATTTCCCTTTCCATTTTACCAGGGGTTCCGAGAAAAAGAATAAAAAATTTCTTGATAGACTCGTCTTGGATCTCTTCGGGTGGTTCCGCTTTTAGTGACCCTTCAATGTAGGTGGTAGACATTAACAACAATTCGTTGAAGGCTACTTGAGGAGACCGCCTAATATAGGTGAAATTCAGAGCGATAAAGGGGAAACAAATTCGGAATTTTGACAACAGACCGCTAAATACGGGTTCAACTGTATTCCCTTGGTTCCGTTCATTTGTTCCTATCGAACTTAGTGCCAGTGAGAACTATGTAAGAATTATTGCATTTTTGTTTCCTTGTTGATTCTTATACTACGACCTTCATTAGTCTTAGGGTGCCTCTGTAATGGGACTTCCCACCTAAACCAGTGTTCGCGAAAGAGAACGGCGGAGATCAAAGTAAATGAAGCTCAATCAATTATTGATTATTAATCGATTATCATCGATTATGGCTTGTTTTAGATCGTCTGAATCCTGTCAAACAAGACGCCATGCCTGTTCAAAATTCTACACTTGCCGGCATACGTAGCTAGCATTTTGTTTTTAATTTAAGTCCTGTCGGAGTAACGGTCTGTAAAAGAAAGCTCCGCAAAGCTTTTTATTTCAATTTGTGAGCCCTGTTAATACGAATGGAATTTAACATTTAATTTAAGTTGATTTAATTTAACCGCCTCCCGGTTAGCTCAATGGATAGAGCGCCAGACTGTTGTGAGGGATGTCGAGGGTTCGAGCCCGGACCAACACTCAGGGTCTTAAAATAATTGAGAAGAATTTGCTACCTTTCTATAACATCAAGAAATGGTTAGATATTCTAGTCTTCTCGGATAGGGACGAATAACAGGAGGTCCCGTCTCCCGCAGGGTTAAGGGAAGGAGACGTTAATTTCCCACACAAGAGAATACTGTGTGATGGATGTCCTCCCCTGGGGTGGGATGGGTGGGAGGGTGGACTAGCACGAATGGTTCCTATGTTCCTTTCTAGTCCTTCCCGCTGCAAAAATTAATGCAGTGAAAGTAGTGTAAATTAAATTAACAACCTGAGACAATTTATAACAGCAGCACCGTTTTTCATACAAGCTTTTGAAGAGTTAAAACAAAACTTTGTTTTAATACTGAAAATTAATTAATTAATTTGTTTTAATACTCAAAATTAAACATTCGTGTTGGCGACTTCACACAGGCGCTGTTGCGAATAAATCATGAGAAACCCATCACAAATTTATTCGGAAGCCGGACTTATAGAGTCCAAGAATTCAAACGAGGTAAATAGTGTTTTGCCAGTCGCAATTTTTGTAACTGGCGAATTTCGGACGAATCAGAAGAGCTGGAGAGCACACACTTTTCTAAGCTGGCATGTTATTTTGAATAAAGGGTGAAAGTTTCTAAAGAAACTGTGGTGCTGCGTCGGTGGGGGAAACAAGGTAATCTGGTTGGACTAAGTCGAAATTGTAAATTGGCCACCGTAAAGAGTTAAAAAGCTGACGTTTCGAGCGTTAGCCCTTGGTCAGAGCGAATGACGAAGTGCTAACGCTCGAAACGTCAGCTTTTTAACTCTTTACGGTGGCCAATTTACAATTTTAACTTAGCTAATTGAACCAAATTACCATGTTTTTTTTTTTTAAGGTAAAGGGGACTTCATTTTCGGGGTCTTTTCATATAAAACCGGCGTTTGATTGCATATTTGATCGCTCTGAAAAAAAATCAAAATCGGAGCTTGATATTTCCGGCGAGAAACCACTACAAGATTATGTGAAATGAAGAAAATAAAAGGCTCTTCGCTGTTGGGTCTTTGGTGTCAGGTCTTAGCTTTTGGGGGTCATCGTTTTCGCTGCAACCAAAGGACTGAGACTCGTGGCAGGCTGGGCCGTTCAAGCAGGTCCTGGGTGACAAACTTCCTGCATAGTGCGAGAACAGGAGTGTCGATGTGCAATTCTGCGGTTGTTAGTAAAACGCGTAACGGCGTAAAGGCGTAGCGGCGTAACGAGAAACCGCGTAACGGGATTTTTTTAATGTTACCATTTTTTTTGTAATTTTTTTTTATTTCATTTTTTTTTTAATTTTATTGTTATTATTATTATTATTATTATTATTATTATTTAAAATGTGAACATTATTATTCGTGATTGGCGGGGGTTTTTCCCGCCCTTTGGCCAAAGTTACCCCATTT